AGCAAGTATTTACCTTCATTAGTGCACAGATAAATTAAGCACTGACAGAACAAAATTTCAGAGATATACTGCTAACCTGAGATCTAAATTTCTCCTTTTGGATTCATTTTACTAATTCTTCCATCTTTTCCTCTCCTCTTCCTTCTCATAATTTCCCTGTGTTCATTTTAATATGGAAAAATAACCTCTGTTGAAATATAAATTTAGGAGGGAATGCTGCCAAAGGCTTATCTTACGGAGTGCCGTGAGAATTTAACTTGTATTTTATTTTTCATTGCTATAGCAAGAAATCTTTTTGTTAGGCTTTTGAGGGGTGAAACATCAACAGCAAATAACAGGGATTTGCCCCACCTGTTCTCCAAGCTGGACAAAGAACTCACTCTGTATTTCTAGCAATTGGGTCTTTCTAAATAGGCCATCAATCTCTTCTAGAAAGGATAATCTGCTCCTTTGCAGGAGAAAAGGCATGAAGGATGTCTTCTAATGAGAACCTTAAACAAATATCAAGGGTTGGCAGGACCATGAGCACAAGACAGGAAAAAGAACAAAGAAATGGTTCAGGATACCTGATGATGTTCTAAGGCCAGTGTCATGCTGGAGCCTGTGAACCAAATGAAGCATGCAAGAGGGACTCCATGTTAAGTGCTTAGGGCCAGTGCATGGAGTAGGGAACCTGTCTCATACTCTTTCCCATGCTTCCCTGAGAGTTGACCAACCACCATTTAAGGACTCACCTCTGATGCCCCAAGACGACTGCACAACTAATGGAGTAGTGAAGGAGCAAAATAACCAGTGTTTTGTGAGACTGATAAATCTGTGCCAGTGAGTCTTGAATCTAGATCAGACAGGAGTGGATGCTCTATTACTTAAAAATTGTATGCAACTTTATCCCAGGCATAGACATGTTATATTCTTACTGATTTCCACCCTTCAATATTCTTAACTGATATGGTTTTGTGTAGATTACCCCAAGTAAAATAGGGAACTCCAGGGCTTTAATAATACAGCTGCCACTTGGATCAAAACTTTTATAGTTAGTACAAGTTTCCCTCCTCTTCTGTGTGGCTTCTTCTCTTAGGTCATGCTGGCTTCAGAATGGCATCCTGGGAGAGTAGAAAGAACATCATCTTCGGAGTAAAAAATATCTCTGGGAAATCAACATATCCTTCTTTGAATTTTTTTTCTTCTTTGGGCAATTTACGTCATGGAGCTGTGACCAGGTTGAAGTGATCTATGTAAGGGCATCTAGCATGTTGCTTGGCTCATGGCAGGAACTCGGGAAATCTAGAGATACTATGCAAGCATAGTTTCCACAAGTAAATGGACGTTTATATTTCTGCATCCAGGGAAACCCAGGGATAAGATCTATTTTTCCTAATAAAGGTATAGCCATGCTATTTCCCTCATATCTGCTTGAGCATTTGACTTTCTTCTCTTCATAGCTCCTTTGGGCCTGAAAGCTCCAATAGTAGAAGGAGAATGCAAGACATGGGAAACAAAGGCAGTCATCCTTGGTATGATGAACACCCTGCACTTCACACCTTGTCCCAATACTAGCCCCAGAATAGCAAGGATTTAATTGGCCAACTTCTGATCCAGGAACAGCCATTATCTCCTTGAATTTTTACAATCCCAAGGAAAAGGGATTCGAATCTTCATTTGAGAGATGAAGTCTGAGTATCAGAGCATGAAGTTACTTGACCAACCTCATATAGCAAATCAGAACTTTATCTGGAATTTACAATAAGGACTTTGTTTATCATTTGAGTTGTATAGTTGATGTAATTTTCTCATTTTCCAACATACTTTTCTCCTGTAGTAGCAAAGGCAAGCAGAGAGATGGATTTTCTTCCTCCTCCCACATCCCCACCTTGTTCTTTTTGTATCATTGACAGAAAACCAGAACATTATCTTTGTGACACTAGAAAACTTGCAGTTCTGACACTGAAAGAAACTGAAGCCGGTGCCAGTTTTCCTTATCTTGGTTCAATAATTCCATCCTCAGAGCTATTCACTGCCACTGGCCATCGGAGCTCCTCTGCTTCTACAGAACAATGACCTCTCATTGCACAGTTACCTTCATCCCAAAACACCAGAGTGATTTCTAGTTAGGATAGTGAATCGTGACCAACAATTAAATACTAATATGTCAATCTAAATAACAATTCACTGAAGATAAGCCTTCTACCTATTTTTCAAAACTTTGGAGTTATTATTCAAAGACCACTACGGTTTATTAACACTTCAGTCTGCCTTGTAAGCTATTGGGTGAAAAGACACAAAAAATGTCAAAATCAAATTTTTTTGTCCTTGAGGACATGTGTATAAGATAGGGTACATGTAGTGGTCAGAGGAGAGGAATGAACAGTAAGTAAGCAAGTAAATGAGCAAGTAAATGAGATGATGGGAAAGTCTTCCTGAAAGAAGTGAAAACTGAGAGGTGATTAGGATTTGAAAACACAAGAAGGGGCCAGGCACGGTGGCTCACACCTATAATCCCAGCACTTTGGGAGGCCAACGCGGGCGGATCACGAGGTCAGGAGATCGAGACCATCCTGGCTAACACAGTGAAACCCTGTCTCTACTAAAATACAAAAAATTAGCCAGGTATGGTGGCAGGCACCTGTAGTCCCAGCTACTTGGGAGGCTGAGGCAGGAGAATGGTGTGAACCTGGGAGGCAGAGCTTGCAGGGAGCTGAGATCGCGCCACTGCACTCCAGCCTAGGTGACGGAGCAAGACTCCATCTAAAAAAAAAAAAAAAAAGAAAAGAAAACACAAGAACGGTTAAAAAAGAATGATCTAGACCTGGAAGAAGAGGGTAAACAAAAGCACAGAGGAAAAATATATGCAAGGAATGGTATAGACATTAAGGAAATAAATTTCACCAGAGAATTAAATTGTGAAGAAAGGAAAAAAAAAAATAAGTTCATAAGTTACTGTCAGAAGCTTGTACCATGTGGAGTGTTACAGAACAGGGCAGGACAATTGGACTTCATCCAGTTGACACTGGGGAGTTTCTAGGGGTTGAAGTAAGAGGCCATGATGTAAGGGATGTTAAAAAAGATTAAAAGGTCAAACAAAGTCAAATGAAAGGAGCAAATTTTAGTATTTGATACAATAGAAAAATTATAGTTTATAATTCAGTGTATATTTCAAAATAGCTAGAAAATAAATATTGCAATGTTCTCAACACAAAGAAAAGATAAATGCTTAAGGTGATAGATGCCCCAATTACCCTGATTTGGTCATTGCACATTGTATACAGATATCAAAATATCACACATATCCAAAAAAGATGCACAACTATAATATAATATATCAATGAAAAAATATGAAAATAAGTAACCCCCATCCCTGGAAAAAAGTTCAAGGTGGAGAGGTTATTCAGGGTAGAGAAACAATTGTTAGACATAATTCGATTGTCCAATGAAAATTGTTGGATACCCGGAAAAAAAAAAGGAATGAAAGAGTGAAAACAAAACACATCAAAAAACAACATAGTTGGATCTAAAATAGTAGAAAGAAACATCACCTCGAGTAAATGGCTGAAGGATTTTGCCAGTGGTTCTCAAACTTGAGTATGTGTCAGAATTTTCTGAAGAATTTGTTAAAACACAGATTTCTGGGTTTGAACTCCAGAGTCTGTCCTTAGGGTATAGAATGACAGGCAGGCCAGGCACAGTGGCTCACACCTGTAATATCAGCACTCTGGGAGGCCTAGGCGGGCAGATCACTTGAGGTCAGGAGTTTGAGACCAGCCTGGTCAACATCGGGTGAAACCCTGTCTCTACTAAAAATACAAAAATTAATCAGGCATGGTGACACATGCCTGTAGTCCCAGCTACTTGGGAGGCTGAGGCATAAGAATGACTTGAACCCAGGAAGTGAGGTTGCAGTGAGCCGAGATCACGCCATTGCACTCCAGCCTGGCTGACAGAGTGAGACTCCATCTCAAAAAAAAAAAAAAAAAAAAAGCAGGCAGGCAGGGACATCCTCAAAAGTCCCTAGAAGGTGGGATTATGTATCTGATACTCAACATCGAACACCATATTGTATACATTTCATTTCCCATGGTCAGAGTAGGTGTGCAGTAAAGGCAGGAGATATTGTATTCCTGCTTATGAAATCTCACTTGTCATTTGAACATATAATACCATAAACATGTTTCTTTTCCCAAACACCAATTGCTGCACCCAGGCTCCCTTTCTGAGGCCAGAACAGCAATTTAACAATCACATCACCTAGCAGTGATATGCTATGCATTTTCAGAAATTATCCAAAATGAGAACTCCTGGGGTCCATAACTCAGCTCTCCCCTTCCCACATGTGCATGATTTCCTTTGCCTCCTATTATGCTCTTTGGACCTGTAGTCATGCAAATGACACAAATGAACAGCTGCATTCAGCCAACCAGATGGTCACATGTGGGAAGAGATGGGATGGAGACAATAGAAGTAATAGCCTATAAAGTAAGTTAGTGCTACCGAAATTCTACATTTTTTCTATTAAAACCAAGTGAAAGGTTAATTATTTCCATCCGTATTCACTTAACAGAGGGAATTAATCTCAAAGGCACAGTAAGAAATTTTCAGCAAAATTTCACAACTGCTTATCCCAAAATAGGAGAGGAGAGTGATTGAATGTGTGTTGGAGAGTGTGATGGAAGCAATGAACAGGCTTATGTAAAACTCTGCTTGCTTGAGATATATAGCTAAATTGCTAGGTGATATATAGCTAAATTGCTAGAGAACAAGAAGGAATCCATTCACTCTTTTGAATTAATACTGAACCCTGATGAAACAAAAGATGGTCTTTTTCTTCCTAGGTGCTATTCTTCTCTGAAATCCAAGCTATTTGAAATGACGATATAAACTTTTCTCAGTTCACAACAAAATTTGTGTTTAACATGGGTCACATTTAAAGACTCTATGTACACTCATATTTTGTAGACATAGGAATATTTATAATCTTTCTAAATTTTTCATAGTCATGTGTTTACTTTCCTCTTTCACAAAGTCCTTTCTCGGAGCAGGTTATATGTATATAACAATCTTCATTCGTAATAGCACATTTGGTCATATTTCTATATCTGTGGAGACAGAGAAATGTATTCTTATTGTGATGGGTACTACTGCTTTGCAATTTACAGATTTACTTACTGAAGAACCATAAAGTTTATAAATGGCAATTAAAACTCAGGATGAGGGTATTTAACCCATACCTTCATTAATATAAAAAGCAATATTGTTCTGTTGACTCTATATTCTTTACAGAAGCATCTAGAGCCCAGATCTTTTGTAAGTAGTTACATAAAATAAAAAGAATGTTATATTCCATTGTATATTAGTACTTAAAAAATAATGAGACACAGGACATAAAACCATTTTCTTTTTTTTTTTTTTGTAGTTCTATTAAAAAGTAAACATTTGACTTCATTATTAGATATCAAAAGAAAATATTTTCAGTAAAATTAACTGAATAATAAAAGAAAACTGTAAAAAATTTAAAATATGAAAAAAAGAGAGGCTGGATGCAGTGGCTCAGGCTTTTAACCCCATCATTTTGGGAGGCTGAGGCAGACAGATTGCTTGAGCCCAGGAGTTCAAGACCAGTCTGGGCAATATGGTAAAACTCCATTTCTACAAAAAATACAAAAAATTAGCCAGGCATGGTGGCACATACCTGCAGTCCCAGCTACTCGGGAGGCTGAGGTAGGAGGTTCACTTGAGCCTGGGGAGGTCAAGGCTGCAGTGAGCCATAATCATGCTACGGCACTTCAGCCAGGGTGACAGAGTGAGATCCTCACCCCACCCCACCCCACCCCACCCCAAAAAAGGGTAAGAACCAAATGCTTAACCTTGATTTTATTACATATAAATATTTTAGACCTCTTTTCTGGTTATAAAAGTGAAGCATGCTTATTTGTAGACAACTTGGTAAAGAGCCAAGAGTATAAAGAATAAAATTTTTAAAAAACCATTATTCTAAGGAAAACCAGTATTAATACTTTGCTATATTTTTTCTAGTCACTTGTTTGTACATTAAACACATATATAGTTATATATGAATGTACTAAAAATATCCTATATTTGAAATAGTCAATGCTCCCTTGAAAAATGCACTATTCTATATTATTCCCTTTTCCATAATATTCACATTTTTCAGTCACAGAGTATGAATTATTACCCAATCTAAAATCATGTATATCAATATGAAATTTAGTTGCTACTAATAACGATGTGATAAACTTATTTCCTATTATTGGACTTCTCCTATATTTTTGCAGTGTGATGAACTGGACAGAAATTCGGCAAGCAACTAATCAGCCAGAGCTAAACTGGACTTTTTAGTTGATTTTATAGAGTATGGAAGAGTCAAGCAGTCATTCATTCAAATAGTTTTTAATAACTACTCTTTTTTTAGGCACCATTCTATGGGGGATATTTCAGTAGATAAAACATATAAAAGTCTCTGGCTTCATAAAGCTTGGATCCCAGTGTTGCCATTTATTAAGATAGAGAAAAGTCAAATAGAAAGTGTTTCGTGGGTTTTAGGTGGGAGGTTGGAGTTGTGAAAAATTCTGTTTCGAACACGTTCGATTTGAGGTGCCCCTGAGGTATACAACTGAAGGAGCTCAGGAAAGAAGTCTGGGCTAGAGATATTAGTTTGGGACTTGTCAGCATACAGATGGGAATTAATACCATGAGAATAGATATAATCATCCAGAGAAAAAGGCTGACCGGGAACTACCGAGAATGTAGGACTTAACACCTATGGAGCACCAACATTTTAAAAAGAGGTATTTGCAAAGAATATGGGAAGAGAAAAGAGGTAAATGAGACTCCTAAAGTTATGGAGCCAAGGAGCCAAGATGAGGAGTGGGTGTGTTGGCGGAAAACAAAAAAAAGAGAGAGAGAGAGTGGCAACATTTTTTGAGAAATCAACAAATATAAAGACTAAGTGCACATTTAGAAACATGAAGTTCATTACTAACAGGAATTAGAAATACGACCCTACTCTGACGGCTATATACTTCTCTGCCATCTTTCCTCCATTGTTCTCACTTTGTTTTAGCCACTTCCTTCTGTCGTTATACCTTGTAATTTGTTCCTTTTGCTGTGCCACTCCTGAAATCAGACATTATACTCTGAGATCATCAGCATCATTTCTCCCATTTCACTCCCTCAAATGCTTCTAATACAAAAATCTATTTGACATTACACCCCTTGGAGCACTGATCTCTTTTCTTTGTATCCATTAGCATTTTCTGTTCTATAGTCCAACACTCTCCCAAGAACATTGATCAGCCTTTACCCAGTAAACCAGGAATACTTTAGGGGCAATGGTCATGTGACAATACTCTTGCACTTGTGAACAAATGGAAATGGGAGATTCAGCATAAAAACAAGGTGCATTCTTTTAAGACTTTTGTTTTAATAAGTGGGAGATGAGTTTTAGCAATCTCTTAACAGCAAAACCCAGTAGGAGGCACTGCTACAGTTCCATAGTGGATTTAACTCAATTCCAATTAGAAACTCTCAACTCTTTTGTGATGTCCATTAAAAAAAACCCACCCAAATACCTGATTTTATCACTTATCCAATGAATTCATGTCATTTAGAAATTTCCTGGAGGAGACTGGTTGGACCTGTGGAAAATGGAGTGACTGGGCTAAATGGCTTTTGTCTTGGTTTGGGTTCCCCCAAAATCATGGGATAAGGATTCATGTGCAGTGGTTCATTGATATGTGATACCACGGAGGGGCAGGGGGAACAGTAAGGAAAAAGGGAGTGGAACAGGGAAAGAGGGAAAGAAAGGCAGCCAATAAAGGGGATTTTATTACGCCAGTTAATCCATTGAGTAACTGGAGCTTAATCCTGCGGGATTCATTGTACAATATGGGACTCAGAGTTACCTCCACTTCTCACTAATCCCCAGGTAGGAGCTGGAGTATTTATACCAACTAATAATGATCCTCAGTTAGCACAGTGCCCTTGGGGGAAGAAACAGAGAAAGCCCTCAGGAAGGAAGTCCTGCATTACAATACGAAAGCAGCTCCAGCCTGTTCTGATGCCCTCCTCTCCAAAGATGCCCTGAGAGCTCTAACATTCTAGGTATAGGATTCTGTAGAAATGTATGGACCCCTATTTGGGGAAAGGATTTTGTTTAAAAATTGTTTTATAGATTTGAAGAGATTTGAATAATTATATTCAAAGCATTTCTATTTATTATTCAGGAGACTCCTTTTTTATTGAATTTCATTTAAATAAACCAGTATGGAAACTGTCTGGTTTGTCTAATCATATAACTCAGTAGAAAGAGATAGTTCCACAATGCACAGATAGCTGAATAAGCCCTAACTTGAAGGAAAGTTTGATCTTGTTCTCCTAATTTTATTCTTCTTACCTCTCTCCTTAATCAACATAGGCTGGCTTCAGTTCAGCATGCCAATTAATCTCCAAATCCCAGTAGCTTACCACAACAAAGGATTGTTTTTCAATCATACTATATGTCCATAGTGGCACCATAAACATCTCTGCTCCACATTGCCATTCAAGGACCCAGGCTAACAGAGAGTTCATCTTCTCATAGGTACACCCCATGCAAGAGGCAGCCTCTTTTGTCACTGCAGCAAGGGAAAAAAGTATGAAGAATGTTGAACATAAAAATGCTCTAGGAATAAATGCTCAGTGACACAAAGTAAAACCAGCACTCAGGCAAAAGTTTAATTCTCTCAGCAAGGCAATTTACTTCTGCAGAAAGATGCTACCTGTGTTAATCAAGATTGCAAGAGCACGGAGAACAAAGGGGACCGGGGCAGGCGGGGTTTATCCTTAATGCAGTCCCTATCTCTGTGTGACTCCCCCATGGGCTGGGGTCGAACTGCACAAACTGAGCTGACCCAATTGGCTACTTGTACATATTTTCCTAAATATAGAAGGGGAAGGGGACGTGAGGTACAGATGTGGAGCATGTGAGACATGCAGTTTCAGGGGAACAATGGGTACAGGTAACCAAGGGAATGGATGTGAGTTATTGATTAGAGCTGATGGGAAGGGGGTAGGCTGTTTATGGTAACTAGGGGCAAGGAAGAACAAGAAAGTTGAGTTTGAGAACAAAGGATAAGGAAGTTAACAGGCTAAACTCTTGGAAGATAAACTCAGAAAGATTTATTGTATACTGGTTGGACCTGTGGAAAATGGAGTGACTGGGCTAAATGGCTTTTGTCTTGGTTTGGGTTCCCCCAAAATCATGGGATAAGGATTCATGTGCA